TTCTATCCATGTTTTAATGCTGCAGAGCTCAGTCGTTTTACAAATAGTTCAAAGTTTAAACTGGCATGTTGAACATCTAGACAACATCTCTGTTGTCTAGAGCGGACCCTGCCTCTCGCCCACTGACTGCTGGAAACCGGCAGCAGTCACAAGAACAGAGTGTGGAGTACAGAGTGGATCACAGGCTTCCTGGGACGAGAGAACAACAAAGTCTGAGATTATGATTGGTCAAACTAAACTTTCTGTTGACAGAACTGGTAGAGGATCACGCTAACTGCACAGTCTGCGCTTCTGTTGGCTTCTGTTTTCTTTTCACCTTTGTGAAAATGAAGCACTGTGGTTGTTTGCGATCTTTTCCCTGTTGGCGTGTTCGTTAACAGATTGTCTCCTCTGTGTGCTGCTGCAGCTCCCCCATCCGAAGACGCTCCCACTACGACAGGTCTGATGAGGAAGAGGAAGAAGTGAAAGAGGGCGGTCCTGGGACGACCAGCTCGTCCTGCTCCAGATACAGATACAGCAGTCATTTGAAAGATGATGAAGATTATGATGATGAGGAGGAGGTGTCGTAGTGTACTCGCTCAGATGTAACACTTTGCTTTGCATGCAGAATTGGCTACAGTGTTGGACAATCATGCACAACAGTAATGCAGTGGTCTGCTCTAGAGCGGATGCAGCAATGTACGCTGGTAGCTGCTTGAACTGCAGGCTCTGCCACACACAAGCTCTTTGTCCACAGTTCACACCTTCAACACCAAAATCCTACAGGTTTTCATGTATTGCCAAAAAGCATTAGCCAGCTGTACATGTGTACACTTTGTAACCGTTTAACAATGAATGCTAAGACCTAAGAAAAGCACCAGCATCCGTTCCTTCTTTCTTTGAACAAGAGCCATGTTAAGAAGCAGATAGGTGGACTGTCCGGCTTCCTGAGCTGCTGCACTGTAAATCCATGATGCTCATTATCATGTACTTATTGTAGTCTCATAAAGTTTGCTCTTTGTTTTCCTGCAGTATCTCCCCATCCTGTACTCCCAAAGACTCTCTTTGGGAGTCTTTTCTCCCAAAGAGAGAAGACTGCATCACTTAGATGCTACAAGGATCTTTTTTTTTCCTCCTGAAAACTTTAACAGTTTGAAGTTAACTTGAATTTCCAAAGTAAATACCAGATTAAAACACAGTGGCTTTGTTGTTGCATTTGCTATTCACACACTGTTTTAATTTTGATATAGTTTCCTTCTTCATGGATGTTGCACCATTTTATTTTTTATATTATTGTTTTCCCAGAATTTGTTGACTTGCATGCTGTCATGCTGAAAATGCCTTTTTTAAGAAAAAATTCAGGGACCTATTTTTGTTTTGTTTTTTGCTAATAAGCGATAATACAGCCCAGGTATGAAAGCAAAATGTTAAGTTTTTATTTGTTTTTGGTTTTTTTTGTTTTTTTAAACAAAGAATTGATGGAGTTCAGTCTGGGTGGGACACCATGAAATGCTCATTATCTGCAGCAAGAACAAGGCCATGTCTGGTTTTCCTCTGGTGCTTCTTCACATGAACACCTTCACCTCCACACACAGCCATGGAACAGCTTGTCGTTGCCAGGGCAGCTACTTAAGCTCTATGGCAACCTGTCACCATGTGGGTGCAGCAGTAGTCTGGCAGTGTGCATGTGCTACCAACCACTTAGCATGATAGTGTTACTCAAACTGTTTAACTTCCTGAATTGTTCAAGTGAAATCCCACTCCAACACATTTATAATTTACTCAGTAAAGTGGACTAATTCAGGAATTAGATCATCAACATAAAAATCCCCAGTAAGACCCTGTTTTATGTTCCAGTGTGTTTAAATGAGCTGAACAACCCTTTGAGTTTAGTGCATCACTCCTAACTAGTAACCAGAAAAGGTTCTTAAAACACAGACAGCCCTGCGACAGCCTCATTCATATGCTGGAAGCACTGATCTGCACAAACAGAGAACCCCTTCCCATCACAGTAACCACTACTTGATCACATGACCAGTTCCAGATGGTACTTCCTGATTCTGACATCATTTTAGCTTCACATTTCTGCTGTGTGTGCGTGCGTGCGTGAATGAATCACACATTACTGCATCTGCTTTACTGCTTTCATACTGATGTTTTTAAAACTGCCTATAAACTACTTAATTTAAGTTAAAAAATACAAAGAAAAAACAAAACTTATTGATGTCATCTTTCTGCTGACTCGGCAACATGACTGAGTCAGAGTTGTATATTGAAATGGTGTAAATGTGTAATAAGGTAACGGCATGTAAATGATTGAAAGGATTAATGAGACACTGGAAAATATTTAGTGTACAGAGCCGGAGTGGGAGGCTGAGGCAGAGCGGCCTGATCAACCTCTCTGTGACCAGGAGGCAGACCCGCTGCTCCCACTCCAAGCATCATGTTTGGATCTTTTATTGGTTCTGGCGTCGACGATCCACACGTCTCCATCATTCCTAACTAACCCACAGTCTGTGGAACCAAAATCATGTTTAAGCCGTTTGGTGGAGTTGCTTTACTATGTCACATTTTGCTCATTTTAATTTGAGCAACAAGAAAATCTATTCTGAAACCTGAACATGTGTTCAGTTACTTGACGTGTGGTAATGAGTTTCAGTGTGAGAGTCGTTTTGGGTCCGGTCAAAGGCGAGTCCATGTCGTCTGTCTGAGAGATTTGGGTGGAATTTTACAATATGTGATTTTTGGAAGCTTTCTTAATATATCTGATATCGACACAAAAGTGAACGTATTTTTACTGACATGCACCTCTTTTTTTTTTTTTTGGCTAACCCCTTATTCACTGTATTTATATACAAAACATGTATGATTCATTTTAGCTTTGGAAAACTCTCGTTTCTTTTCTTCACTGAAAAACTGACCACTTGTTAATTTTATCTTTGCAATATTGTAAATAAATTCTAGTTATTGACTTGAAGCGCTTTTTCTGACTCAGCGAGTTATTGCTGTCAGCTTTCTAAAGAGTCTTCCTCATTGATTATTTTCACACATAAAAATAATGAATGGTAACTCAGGAGAATGTCTCCTGGGAGAAAAGGAAAGCTCCAGCAGCTTGTTACCAAGAGGAAGCTCTGAGAACAGCTGGTATGTCTTGCATGTAAAAAGTAAAATAAGAAAATCTTTCTGTTGACACACATGAAATTACTGAGGATCTACATCAACAGTTACTGTTGGAAGAAGTTTCATTCAGATACAATTTTATTCTCGTATATCAAGTCAGACTAAAAATGGAAAGGTCTGAATGTCAAAATTTAAAAGTGATAGGAAGAGAAAAACAACTTCACTTGTGAAATTATTTGACTCAAAGTGTTTTTGCTTTGTAATAAGATCCTCTTCAGGTGGTTACTAAGGTTTAAACTTTAGATGGTGAAGTCACTATAAAGTAAGCAAAGTAAATGAGAAATTCATGTAGTGTAAATGGCTGGCTGTTAAACACACCTTGTCTTTAGGAGCTCTAAAACTGGTGACATCATGTAAACTGAATGAAAGAGTTGGAGGAAGGCTTCATGAATCCAGACCCGATCCTACAAAGCTGATTTCATGTGTGACTGGAAACGCCTGATTTTGAAAGATGAAAGGTCAAAGGAGGGCACTTCTCCCAGGCTGAGCTCACACAGGAGCTTACCAATGACTGGGCCGAACTTGAAGCCATGACCTAAAGGAGAGGAATCATAGAAGTAAAAAAAAATAAGTAAATAAGATCCATGTCACAACAAAGACAACTAAAGACCGAGGCTAACAGGAGACAGCTGAGCCTCCACAGTGTAACTACATGCTCAACATTTTGGGAGATTCTCTGCATGAATCACATAGAGCTTCCCACATTTTGTACAATGAACTTTCAGAAAAGGCCTAAATAAAATGAATTGATATATTTTACTTTGAACAGAGAGATTTTTCTATAATTCAAAGAAAATACATTAGTCTGCTGACAAAAAAAAATCCCCCCTGCACAACAGCAGGAGGAGCTGTAGTCCAACATATCACAGGATATAAACATTAAAAGGAAACAAGTTATCCTGGCTCAGTGATTTCAAAAACACTTAGATTTGTGATCTGGTGATCAACGGTAGGAGAGGTTGTAGTAACTGTCATGGCGTCCTGGTTTCCAATATACGACTCTTTAGTTGGCTTTGATGTTTTTGGAAATATACCTGAGAATCCTGCTCCAATGACGATGTTGCTGTAGTTCGGATGGTAATCCAACACAAAGTGGCGATCAGGTGTTAGCTACAAAAACAAAACAAGCAAAATAGAACAAGTCATATATGAAATATTTTACTGATACATAAAGGCAATCTGAATTATGCACATATATGTTTTTCCCCTGCAATTTCAGATTTTCTGCCTCATTTATTAAACCTCTGCAGCTATTTTTAAAGCCCTTTTAAAAAAATAATCAAAATTCTGCCTCTGGAAGAACAGACAACACTCACTAATACCAAAGGGCCAACTCTCAGAAAAGGACATTTTTAGTTCACCACAAGAAGGCGTGAATGATATGAGGCTGAGAACAAAATGATCTGATTTTCACCCCACTGCTGCAAGAAGGAAAACTGATTTCAGATGTTCAGCCTGACCTTCAGAGACTTTACGCCTGAGTAGAAATACTAACACAGAGCAAACCCAAAACAACCCCAGAACGTGACACTTCAAGGCAGAAATACTTCTGAGGGTTTCTCCTCCACCCTTACTGTATACATGCAGCTCTCCACCACAGCAGGCTCAGGAACCAGGCCGGGTATGCATCTGGAAACGTATCGCTTCAGGATATCGATGTCAGACGTGTCCGTCTGCAAGTCTCTGTAATCCGGGTCAGTCTTGCTGCCTATGTGGTAGCATATCTGTACACACAGTGAGAATACATGGGCCAACAATCATTGCACTCCAAACGCTCCTTTGCAATCTGAATATTGCACACACTAATATTGCGACGATGATATTTTGAGCAGCCTCACTTTCAATAGTTGAGGAAATGCTGGATGTGTATTACACACTCACCCACCTTCACCAAGTCTGGGTATTCATTCGACGGGAGGCCATAAATGTGTTCTTTGCTCTCCAAACTCCCAGTGACCACAAAGCATGGAAAATGCTGCTTCACACCATAAGTCCCAGGAGTCTTCTCTTTCCAGTAGCACACATTGATCTTAACAGTCTGTTGTGCAAAGACAGCAATATAGCTCAGTCAGACATGCATCCTAACCGTCCAGCAAAATGGTTGCTAACCATTTCTGCTGGATGATAAATTGTCCCAGAACGCAGGGCCGGCCCAAGGCATTAGGGCCCCAGGGCCACCAAAGGGTCCCCTCAGTGGAGCTGATTTTTTTTTTTTAGTAATAATTTCTATGTCATTGTAATATCAAAAACACACAATTTCACTATGAAGTGATTTGTTTTTACAATAATATATATTTGATAATGTATGTAGAAATTATTATTTTATTGATAAAAAGAAAAAAAAATGTTCTTGGGGGGCCCCTGGTGGCCGCGGTAGGTACTGCATGCTTCGCTGGTGTTACATTAGCTGCAATGAGCAGAGCATCCAAACCTCCAAAGCTCTAATCAGAAGTTAAGTTAGCAAAACAATGTCTCAAAAAAGGACTTATCCTTCAGGGAGGGAGAAAAGAAAGAGGAAGAACTGAAAAAAGCCAAGATAAAGGTTTGTTTCAATGAGCCTTGGTAATGTTTAACAGAAAGATTACTGGAGCAGCTAATAGAAAATTAGCTTGATAGCGACCTGGAACGCAGCAGGGCCGAGCGCAAATCGTG